GGTTTATCTTTTTGGCTAGGGGGAAGCAAGGGAAGTTGACAGAATAGATCCTCAGGTGATGTGGACCCAGTTTCTTGCTGGAATTTGCAAAGCCGATTTAAGCACGATCTTAGTTGTCAGAAGATTGTTTTTAAAATATAGAAATTCAAGAAGACAGCCTTTGAGAATGCAAATTTTGAAGAACTTGGAATCTTTTCTCATTTCGAATATAATATTAATCACAGAGCTCGGCTAGCTGGATATCACAGTGTGTTCAACATAAGGAAATCACAATAATAAGAACAGCCTCTCTGTCTTGCCGGTGTTTGGTTCTACCTTTGCCCTACACTATATCCTGTGTGTTATTGTTTAGAGAAATAGCAGTGTGCAAAAGAGCTCTGCAGGGTGGAAAATTAAATCATGATGACTAGCTAAGTAGTGATCAATGGATTTCGGCAGATGAAATATGATGATATGATAACTTACAATGTGGAAATGATGCTTCCAGAACTTTTCAGGGTTGTTTGCCTCAATGTTGGGAGCAAAATAAGGCTTATGTGAGAACAAAGAAAATGATAAGAATGCCTGAAATTCACATAGTGATTAAGACAAAAAGGAAGGGGAAGCAGTTCACAGGTAGGGATAAGGATGGAAGAAAGGCCGTTAACTTGAGATGGCCCTCGTGCCTGCGGGATTCAGGGGCCTGGGCTCCCAGAGGAATGACCTGATGAGTTTCAGCACTTGTTGGTGTTGACTTGCTGGTCCCAGTACCTCTGGAGACGTCTTGGCAAGCTAGCATTTACATGTAAATGCCTCTAATAGAGCTACCCTTTCCAGAGCCTGCTCCCGGAAAGGGTTGCAAATGAATGAAAATGAGGAAGAAAGAATGTTAGACCTTCTGTTCAATTTCACATATTCATCTTTCCACCACATCTAGAAGGCTCTTAGTCACAATGGAAATGAATTATAATTCTAAAGAAATTATTTTATTAAATTCTCACCCATATACAATATACATGTGCATTTTAATCTCTTTATCTAAAATGAAATTGAGAACAAAGTTTTTGAGAATTCAAATATTTTCACTTAAAAGGGAAGTTTCAAGATTCTAGTCCAAGCTTTTTCTGACATCAAATTAGTATATATGGAATGATTCATCAGAAAAGGAATGCATGGGCCACCTGGAAAAGAGGATGTCCCTCAGAGCAGCAGCCTGACAGGGACTGTGGGAACCAGTGGGATGGGAGGAGGGCGCCTCCACAGCAGAGTGGCAGAGGCCAAGCTGCCAGGTGATGCCTCCTTGTGGAGTGTGGTCCTGCACCGGCTGCCTAGGCCCAAGTGGAGGGGGGGAGAGTGTGTACAAAGGAGGGGTCCCGGATGCAAAGCATTAAAATTATAAATGTGAGGAGAACTGGCATGCTTACAAATTGAATTTTATAATCCAAAAATAGTATAACTCTCCATTTATTAAAATCTTTTATATCCCTAAAAAACCAAAAACAAAAAACAAAAAAGGCCCCTTGCCCAGGCACTCCATCATAGTAACCTGCTTTATTTGGCTGGAGACACTCATCACCATATGAAATCATCTTGTTTACTTGATCACCTATTCTTTCTCTCTCTTCAAAGATAATGCCAGCAACCTGAGAGCGGGAAGTGGACTTTCTTGTTCAAGGCTGTATCCCCAGTGCCTGGAATGGTCCTAGATTAGGGTAAGCATTCAATAAAAGTTTGTTGAATGAAAAAAAGAAAGAAAAAGAAACAAAGAAAAGGAGTGTATGTGTACATAAACAATCTACATGGGATATTTTTGAGAATTTCAGCCTAACACAGATACAGTAGTTTTAATGTCTGCTTTTTTAAAGTCCCAAGTGTTTTTGCCAAAGTGCCCATATAATCCAATTTTAATTTACTGATAATTTAACTTGTGTTCGGTTTACATATAAGATAACTTATAGCTTGTAGTCTGTTCTATTTTACTGAATTGGAGGCATATGGCAATTTCATTCCCTGATTTCAGCCCTCAAATGTTGAGAATGAAAAGAGATATTAAAGAAACTCATAGAATAATGGTATTAGCAGGGTAATGTGGGGAGATTTGGGGTGCTTCAGAAAAAACTTATCACTTGAAAAACTCCAACCTCCTTTGACCTGATAGTACTTGAGATCTATCATTAAAAACAAAATTTTAAAAACATTGTTACCTCCAGGGACCCTCTTATACAGAGTCACTTCCTTGGGAGGTATAGGACAGGCATCTCGTTCCAGGGCTCAGAGATGAGGTTGCATGTGTTTACCCCATCCTTTTCTTTGTGGTCTAGACCATGAACAAGGACCCCGGCAAGGGGCACTGTGATAAGTGGTGAAACTGAGAAGGTTCTCCTGCCGTGGGGAGCCCTAGAATCAGGACCCTTGGCATCAGGGGCAGTGGGAAGGCACAGAGGAAAGTCACCGCAAGGGAAAAGGGGGCTGCAAAAAAACCAACGGGACTACCTTACATTTGTTCTTAGGACCACTAGTCCTGATTTCTGTAGGCTCTAAAATGTTGTGATTCATGTAGAAAGGCTAGAGGAAGGGGGAGGGGAAGACTTGCTTAGCCTTTCATGGATTTATGTTCAACACTCTGTGAAAGAAAACTAGGGTTTTCCAATACCCACTTTACCATAACTGTGTTGGACGCAGGCAGGCAGGGAGTCTAAGCACTGGAGGCTAAGAATTGACCTCTTTAGTCAACTGGAGAGCCAGCTGGGGTTGAGATGTTCTGAGCTTGTATCTCTAACTCCATAGACAAGGCTGATCCTGGGAGGGAAATAAGAAATCAGTTCTGGAGCCCCTCAACCTTGGAGCCCTGGGACTACATTTAGGGAGTGGGAATGTGGTTGGGGGTGTGAACTGGTCCGACAGAATGTGGTGGTGTGGGACAAAGGGGCAGAACCTAGCTTTCCTGAGGGCTCAGCAACAGGGGGTGTGGGCAGTCATGCTATGGACTCCCCAAGTCTTTGCCACCTACTGCAGTTCAGAGGGTAAAGGAAAGAAAGTAGGTGATGGTTTGTAAAGGAAAGAAGGTAGGTGATGGTTTGCTGGGGTCTTCCCCTCCCCCTCATCCCATATGGCAAACTTCACATTCAACCTCCCCACACACTCCAAATTTTATCACTGCTCATCCACAGCATAATAGTTCCCTGTTTTCTGGTGAAAGAATATTTCTTTTTTGTGTCAGTAATGGTAATTTAAAATATATTCCAGATAAGATAATAAAGAGTAATAAATAAGAGCCATGAAAATGTTACTGTCAACCACCTCTCTCTCTTTTACTGATTAAAACATTAATGGTGGGGTTGAAGGGAAGCTTGTTAAAAAGCCATGCTGACAAATAGTTCTTCATGGTTTCGTCTGAAATCTCCAGTAGCAAAGTACCTGGGTAAGGGACTGAAATCTCCAGTAGCAAAGTACCTGGGTAATGGACTGGGAACAAGAGAACTACTCCAGTATACAGACATCTTTTGGGTAGAGAACAGACAATGGCAAAGATTTTGGAAGTACAAAATCTAACGGTCTTGGTTTTTATTTTAGTGTCCTCACCACTGGACACAGTGGGTGTTCATTCAATTGAATGAACCTTTTTAGGGCACTGAAATCTCTCCCTTTTAGCTTTCATCCAAATCTGCCCTATAACATCCTAATTCCCTACCCAGTAAACAGCCCAGATGCAAATATTTTCAACTAAATTCCACCAGAAGGATTTCTGTGTCTGTGGCTACTCAAAAATATCTCAACTCTCGTGATTTTCAAATAAAGCCCACATACTATTGAATAGTTTGCGAACATTAAAAGAATGAGGTAAACCAGACTCTAGTTTGTAAGTGGGCTGAACTTTGTGGAAAGCATTCACCTCTTTGCAGGAAGAACGTCTTTAGAAATCATCAGCTTTTGCCCACTCCCACAACGTTCCTCATTCTGAGGAACAGCTTTTCTGTTTCAATACCCAAAACATGGATTATTGTAGCTGTATCAGAACTGTGTGATCCAGTTCTCTTGTTTAATAGATAAGGGAACTGAGTTCTCTAGGTCTACTTCTAGTCAGAAGTGGTAGAACCGAAGAACACATCTCCAAACTCTCAAGCCAGTGACATTTCCTCCCACGAGGTAACTGCTTCTGCAAAAGACAGAAGGGGGCAAGGGATGGAATCTCGTCAGCCCTGTGAAAGCTATCCACTCAGTTACTGGGAATAGACACACATTGAAAAGGATGAATAAGGTAGAACTGTTTATATATACAAATATGGCAACATTCCAGACACTCATGAATTAAAACAGCAGTTGCCAAATATCAATAGTACAGAGAGTCCATTTATGCGAACCAAAATGAATAGTGTACATTTTCTATGGACAAAGTCTGAGGATGCATTCCACCTTGATAACAGTGCTTACCTCTGGGGAGGGCTGTAGAATTGGGAATAGTGGTCAAGGGAGAGTTTGTCCTTATCTGTATTGTTTGTATTTTTATGAGGAGAATCTACTTATGCATTAATTATTTAAGAATTAGTTTAAAAGAGTAAAACTACCTTTTTGTTGTGCTCTGTGTCACTCTGATGGCTTTGTTTCTATCACTATGGATCATGCATGGAGGAACTCAGCTTGTTACCTTAATCTCAGGGCAATACCTAGATTAATCTCAAAGCTGTAGGGGCTGACAGTCTGGCACAGAGGGAAAGGAGTGAGAGTGTGTTTGTGGGTTTAGTTTTTATCTTCCCCCAAATTACTTGTTGCCTTTATAACTCAGCAGAACCCTATGGGGCCTCCTTGGGACAGCCAGACACCACCCCCACCCCACCCCCGCCCCCACCCCTGGCACATGTCCTCTACCTGCCTCTTGTTTGTAGAAAAACTTTAGCCTCCTAGGCCTTCCCAGAGTTCCAAAGAATATATTTAATTAAAGAAGTGAGAAAATGCAGAAGCAAAGGAAAACACTCAAGCAAGATAAAATAATAATGTAGCCATTAAACAAAGTCGAGGACCTTTAGTTCCTCCTCAAAGGCTATAGATAATATTCTGAGCCAAATCCTTTGAGCTGTTTTGCAGATACTGAAACCCCCACCAGGTGGAAGAAATTAACTGCACGCTGCCCACAAGCACAAAGAGCCAAGACTGGTTGGAACCAGAAGGTTGATGGTGTTGACTCCCCATTACCTCACCACCAGCCAATCAGAAGAATGTCCATGAGCTGATCACGTACCCTGCAACCCTCTCCCTCTCCCTGTCTTTAAAATACTTTCCCTGAAAGCCTTCGGGTGGAGTTCGGGCTTTTTGAGCACTTGCTACCTGGACTCCTTGCTTGGCGCCCTGTGATTAACACTGCTCTTTCCTTCACCACAACCTGGTGTCAGTAGATTGACTTTACTGCATGTGCAGGCCAGCTGACCCAGGTTTTGGTTCAGTTACACCTTCTCCCTCATATTGATCACCATTTCACACTTTCACCTTCAGTGAGATCAAACTCCTTGAGTATAACAATGTTGCTGTTCCTGATAATAATAATAACTGGATATGCAATACTGCCAATCAGAATGACAATAGCTGTGCTTTTTTGAGCACTAACTTCATCCCAGACCCTCTCCTAAGAACCTTCATGCGTTGTCATCCTTGTTTCATCTTCCTAACCACTTTGTGAGGTAAATACTATTGTTATGCCCGTGTTAGAGCTGAGAAATAGAGGCTTGAAGAAATCAGTGACCCTGACTGCAGCCACATGGCTGGTGGGTGGAGCCTGGGTCTGAGCCCAGGCAGTGTGACTCCTGCAGATGTGCTTGCGCACAGATGTCAGCATTTCCTGTGCCTGGAAGGACGCTGACCGCCAGAGTCTGTAGGAAGAGTGCTTCGGGTTGGAAAATACAACTGGTCTAAACTGAATGTGTATGTTTTTGGAGAGACCTTCTGTCTAATCTGGTTCCCCATTGCTTCTTCCTTGAACTCCTTTGAGCCTTTAATTTAAGGGTTCAGTTGCCGCTGGGCCACTAAATCAGGTGCGTCATCCTACTGGCAATGTACGGCGAGGGGAAAGTATTCTCCTCTGGAGAGTAAAAACCCATCTCCCTATGATTCCCACTTACCCGTTCCTCTTGCTTAAACCACCACCAACAAGTAGAAACATCTTTTAAAAGAGAAAGTCTGCTCCTCTGGGGGTGAGTAAATAATCCCTTTTCTCTTCCAATATTGACTTTGGATATGTCAGTTTTGTTAAAGGTGTGGAAAGCATAAAGTGGTAAATTTTGAAATGATTTTTGTAGTTTATGTAGAGAAAGATACTTTTTAGGAAGCTGGTCGTCTTATGCTAAATATGGAACAGTTTTCTCCCCAGCCTCCCCTTCTCCCCAAACTTTGGGAATTATTTCATTATTTCTCTGTTGATGACCAAAGTATCTCATTTCATCATGGAAAGTTTGAGGTAGAGCACAGGGATCTTTGATAGAAATACACAAACATATACTTATGTATATACTATGTATGTTTATTCATGTGTATATATACACCTGTAATATGTGTGTGTGTGTGTGTGTGTGTGTATGCCACTTGATGAGGTACCGTAAAATTCTCCTCGCATTCCCAAGTACCATCAAGTTTCTGCCTAGAGCACTAAATTGGCTTTTTTGATTCCTGCCAAATCTTGCTCAGGGAAGCCACCTATGGTCTCAAAGTTCTGTTACTATTTCCATATATTTTGTGAATATTTTCCTTTTGAAAAGAACAACTCCTCCTGCTCGTTTTTCATCCATGTGATGTCACACGTGCATACACGAAAGATGAAGTGGTGACCTGTCCTTTTCATTCTTTGCCCTACAAGCTCAGGGCCTGATGCTATTGCCATATTCTTACACTTGTAAATACAGCAAGTGGGCTCATGTCTCGAGTGCCCTCTCTGTGCCTGGCCCTGTATCTGGGACCTGAGAGGGGGCGGTGAATATAACGGACGTGAACCCTGCCCTCATGGGGTTTATGTTACCCCTGCCGCCAGCAGGATCTCTTAGCTCTGCCAAGCTCCCCAGTTACCAGGGCAACAGCACTTTTGGAAGGGGAAGGAGTTCTGACAAATGTGCGGTATGATACACAGTTCTGCACACAAAGCCATTTATTTTAGGCTGAAGCATTTGCAGCAAAATTTGAATAATTTATCTGGAATGTGTCAGATTGAATGCTTTATGATATCTTTTTGGTTTTCTTTGGTAGAACATTCATACAGTAAAAGCTTTGTTATCATAGACTTCTCAACTAACTCTCTGCCAGTCACTGCAAACAAGATGTATGGACTAAACAGGGAGATGGTCCCAAGAATCTGAGCCTGTCTGAGAGAAGTATTACAGGTCATTACTGAAGTGAATCAGGAGGATCTGAAGGATTTTGTACTCAGTGCTCTAAGGTAGAGGTCCCCAACCTTTTTGGCACCAGGGACCGGTTTCGTGGAAGACAGGTTTTCCATGGATGGGGGTGGGGGGGTGGGGGATGGTTCAGGTGGTAATGCGAGCGATGGGGAGCGATGGGGAGCGGCAGGTGAAGCTTCGCTCGCTGGCCCGCCGCTCACCTCCTGCTGTGCCGCCCGGTTCCTAAAAGGCTGCGCACAGGTACGGGTCCATGGTCCAGGGGTTGGGGAACCTTGCTCTAAGTTCTTGGGACAGAAATAACAAAAAAGAGGTTTTGCTGGGCCACAGCTGCTACTAAATGTTACCTATTCTGAACCAAAGAACAAGAGACATCCCTGATCCCACCCTCCTCAACCCAAGAAAAAATACTGAGTCCTGAAATTCCCATTATAAATGGAATCTTTTTGGTTAAGTTGGCATCGCTCTTGGAAAGAGGGTCAGTCAATCCAAGAGGACCATCCCCAGACTTGGGCTTGCCATTAACCTTTCCTAGGATTCATGTGTGCAGGGCCCAGCCAGCACGGTTTGCCGAGAGAATGAGACACCACAGGTGAGCATCACTGGTTCAAAACCTGGAGGGGGAAAGAGAAAGATGCTGGGCAGCCTTGCCTGGAAAGGCCTGGAAAGCCCCAGCCCCACGAGAGCACTTTAAGCATGGAGGCATCTGGAGACGGGTGGCTGCTCAACTCTGCAGAGGGCCAGCTCTTGTTTGCCTCTAAGTGATTTCTGATATATTTCCAAACACAAAATCAAACTTTCTTCTTTAAGAATCTTAACGATGGAATTCCTTGGCGGTCCAGTGGTTAGGACTCCACACTTCCACTGCAGCGGCACAGGTTCCGTCTCTGGTCGGGGAACTAAGATCCCATAAGCCATGTGGTGTGGCCAACCCCCCCCCCCCAAAAAAAAACCAAAATCAAAACAAAACAAAACAAATCAAAACAAAAAAGGATCTTAACGAATGTTCCTGCGTGTGTCCTAGGTTTTTCTACGACAGGGATGTTTTGGACATCTCTTGTCCTTGCCCAGGCTGAGGCAGGAGAGGCAAGGTGCAGCACCCTACAGCCCCAGAAGGGCCTTGTCAGAGCACACTGTGTTGGGAGGTCACAGGTGGCAGAAACTGCTGGCCTTTCTTTCCACAGCCCACAGGAAGCATTTGCATGTCTAACACTTTCTGTGCAAAGCGGCCCATGGTAGCAATGCCCAGATGTGGTTCCCAAGCTGTTCACGGCACTGCTTTGTGATTCATCCTTTCTACACGGTCTCTGGGAGTCCAGTGGGGGCATCCAAACCTTCCTGTTGTCTATGTTCGGTAAGCAGAATGTTAAAATTTTAGAAATTCCTTGCTTTCACTCCTTTTAGAGGTAAAATAGTAATTAGCAGAAGCAAGCATTTGTTTCTTGGGGATATGTTTGTGAAAACATAACAAAACTTTTTATTTATGACTTGCATTAGTTATTTCAAGCTTAAGAAATGTGCCCTTTTGAAAAAGTTGGAAAAATAACATGTTAAAGAGGGAGAAATTACTTACACCATTGTTCCTGGGTTGAATGGTGACACAGATAATTTAGTCAAAACATATCTTTAACCATTTTTTGGGTGCGATAAGTTTGTGAGTCTGATTAGAGCTGGCTGAATGTTTCCCCCAGAATAATGGGTTTTGAGCATTAATAATAAACCTCTAACTTTCACAAGCAATTGCTATGACTTTATTCATATGCAATAAGGCCCTTCTAACAGATTATACAATTAACTTTCTGCAGTTAAAATGAATGAAATATTAATGGTTTTTGAGGAATCCAATGGAATTAAGTTAAAACACATTGACTTCTACCACTTTATGACCAGTTAAAATATATTTTTCATTATTTGAAATCGTTTTCTCCCAACATGTAGTAATGGTGGGAGAATTAAATGACACGGAAAATTCTGGAAATGTGGAGAAAGGGACTAGAACCGCAAGCACCAGGCAGATGAAGAGAGAGAAGAGTCGTTTAGGTAAGTCTCCAGTTACACATATTCTACTAAGCTCTACTTGAGAAAGGGGGCACATTGCCCCTGCGGAGGCAATACTGCCGCATTGACATCAGCGATATGAAGCTGTCAAGTTCTTCTGAGCATAATGGCTTTTTAAAAATATATATACAGCAGGTTCTTATTAGTTATCCATTTTATACATATTAGTGTGTATATGTCAATCCCAGTCTCCCAATTCATCACACCACCACCCCGCCCTGCCACTTTCCCCCACTGGTGTTTACACGTTTGTTCTCTGCATCTGTGTCTCTATTTCTGCCCTGCAAACCGGTTCATCTGTACCATTTTTCTAGGTTCCATATATATGCGTTAGTATATGATATTTGTTTTTCTCTTTCTGGCTTACTTCACTCTGTATGACAGTCTCTAGATCCATCCACATCTCTACAAAAGACCCAATTTCATTCCTTTTTATGGCTGAGTAATAGTCCATTGTATATATGTACCACATCTTCTTTATCCATTCGTCTGTCAATGGGCATTTAGGTTGCTTCCATGACCTGGCTATTGTAAATAGTGCTGCAATGAACATAGGGGTGCATGTGTGTATTTGAATTACAGTTTCCTCTGGGTATATGCCCAGTAGTGGGATTGCTGGGTCATATGATAATTCTATTTTTAGTTTTTTAACGAACCTCCATACTGTTCTCCGTAGTGGTCGTATCAATTTACATTCCCACCAACAGTGCAAGAGGGTTCCCTTTTCTCCACACCCTCACCAGCATTTGTTGTTTGTAGATTTTCTCATGATGACCATTCTAACTGGTGTGAAGTGATACGTCACTGTAGTTCTCACTTGCATTTCTCTAAAAATTAGTGATGTTGAGCAGCTGTTTCATGTGCTTCTTGGCCAACTGTATGTAGTCTTTGGAGAAATGTCTATTTAGGTCTTCTGCCCATTTTTTGATTGGGTTGTTTATCTTTTTAATATTGAGCTGCATGAGCTGTTTATATATTTTGGAGATTCATCCTTTGTCTGTTGATTCATTTGCAAATATTTTCTCCCATTCTGAGGGTTGTCTTTTCGTCTTGTTTATGGTTTCCTTTGCTGCGCAAAAGCTTTTAAGTATCATTAGGTCCCATTTTTTAATTTTTATTTCCATTACTCTAGGAGGTGGATCAAAAAAGATCTTGCTGTGATTTATGTCAAAGAGTGTTCTTCCTATGTTTTCCTCTAAGGGTTTTATAGTGTCCGGTCTTACATTTAGGTCTTGAATCCATTTTGAGTTTCTTTTTGTGTGTGGTGTTAGGGAGTGTTCTAATTTCATTCTTTTACATGTAGCTGTCCAGTTCTCCCAGCACCACTTACTGAAGAGACTGTCTTTTCTCCACTGTACATCCTTGCCTCCTTTGTCATAGATTAGTTGACCATAGGTGTGTGGGTTTATCTCTGGGTTTCCTGTCCTGTTCCATTGATCTATATGTCTGTTTTTGTGCCAGTACCATACTGTCTTGATTACTGTAGCTTTGTAATATAGTCTGAAGTCAGGGAGTCTGATTCCTCCAGCTCCTTTTTTTTCCTTCAAGACTGCTTTGGCTATTTGGGGTCTTTTTTGTCTCCATACAAATTTTAAGATTTTTTTGTTCTAGTTCTGTAAAAAATGCCATTGGTAATTTGATAGGGATTGCATTGAATCTGTAGATTGCTTTGGATAGTATAGTCATTTTTCACAATGTTGATTATTCCAATCCAAGAACATGGTATATCTCTCCATCTGTTGGTATCATCTTTAATTTCTTTCATCAGTGTCTTATACTTTTCTGCATACAGGTCTTTTGTCTCCCTAAGTAGGTTTATTCCTAGGTATTTTATTCTTTTTGTTGCAATGGTAAATGGGAGTGTTTCCTTAATTTCTCTTTCAGATTTTTCATCATTAGTGTATAGGAATGCAAGAGGTTTCTGGGCATTAATTTTGTATCCTGCAACTTTACCAAATTCATTGATTAGCTCTAGTAGTTTTCCGGTGGTGTCTTTCTCCATGTATAGTATCATGTCATCTGCAAACAGTGACAGTTTTACTTTTTTTCCAATTTGTATTCTTTTTATTTCTTTTACTTCTCTGATTGCCATGGCTAGGACTTCCAAAGCTATGTTGAATAATAGTGGCGAGAGTGGATATCCTTGTCTCGTTCCTGATCTTAGAGGAAATGCTTTCAGTTTTTCACCATTGAGAATGATGTTTGCTGTGGGTTTGTCATATATGGCCTTTATTATGTTGAGGCAGGTTGCCTCTATGCCCACTTTCTGGAGAGTTTTTATCATAAATTGGTGTTGAATTTTGTCAAAAGCTTTTTCTGCATCTATTGAGATGATCATATGGTTTTTCTTCTTCAATTTGTTAATATGGTTTATCACATTGATTGATTTGCGTATATTGAAGAATCCTTGCATCCCTGGGATAAATCCCACTTGATCATGGTGTATGATCCTTTTAATGTGTTGTTGGATTCTGTTTGCTAGTAGTTTTGAGGATTTTTGCATCTATATTCATCAGTGATACTGGTCTGTAATTTTCCTTTTTTGTAGCATCTTTGTCTGATTTTGGTATCAGGTGATGGTGGCCTCATAGAATGAGTCTGGGAGTGTTCCTTCCTCTGCAATCTTTTGGAAGAATTTGAGAAGGATCGGTGTTAGGTTTTCTCTAAATGTTTGATAGAATTCACCTGTGAAGCCATCTGGTCCTGGACTTTTTTTTGTTGGAAGATTTTTAATCACAGTTGCAATTTCATTACTTGTGATTTGTCTGTTCATATGTTCTATTTCTTCCTGGCTCAGTCTTGGAAGGTTATACCTTTCTAAGAATTTGTCCATTTCTTCCAGGCTGTCCAATTTATTGGCATAGAGTTCCTTGTAGTAGTCTCTCAGGATGGTTTGTACTCTGTGGTGTCTGTTGCAACTTCTCCTTTTTCGTTTCTAATTTTATTGATTTGAGTCCTCTCCCTCTTTTTCTTAATGAGTCTGACTAATGGTTTATCAATTTTGTTTATCTTCTCAAAGAACTAGCTTTTAGTTTTATTGTTTTCTTTGTTTCTATTTCATTTATTTCTGCTCTGATCTTTATGATTCTTTCCTTCAGCTAACTTTGGGTTTTGTTTGTTCTTCTTTCTCTAGTTCCTTTAGGTGTAAGTTTAGATTGTTTATTTGAGATTTTTCTTGTTTCTTGAGGTAGGCTTGTGTTGCTATGAACTTCCCTCTTAGAACTGCTTTTGCTGCCTCCCATAGGTTTTGGATCATCGTGTTTTCATTGTAATTTGTCTCTAGGTAGTTTTTCATTTCCTCTTTGATTTCTTCAGTGATCTCTTGGTTATTTAGTAACGTATTGTTTAGCCTCCATGTGTTTGTGATGTTTTTTTCCCTGTAATTCATTTATAATCTTATAGCATTGTGGTCAGAAAAGATGCTTGATATGATATCAGTTTTCTTAAATTTACTGAAGTTTGATTTGTGACCCAAGATGTGATCTACCCTGGAGAACATTCTATGTGCACTTGAGAAGAAAGTGTAATCTGCTGTTTTTGGATGCAATGTCCTATAAATATCAATTAAATCTAGCTGGTCTATTGTGTCATTTAAAGCTTGTGTTTCCTTATTAATTTTCATTTTGGATGATCTGTCCATTGGTGTAAGTAAGGTGTTAAAGTCCCCCACTATTATTGTGTTACTGTCGATTTCCTCTTTTATAGCTGTTAGCAGTTGCCTTATGTATTGAGGTGCTCCTATGTTGGGTGTATATATATTTATAATTGTTATATCTTCTTTTTGGATTGATTGCTTGATCATTATGTAGTGACCTTCCTTGTCTCTTGTAACATTCTTTATTTTAAAGTCTATTTTATCTGATATGAGTATTGCTACTCCAGCTTTCTTTTTGACTTCCATTTGCATGGAATATCTTTTTCCATCCCCTCACTTTCAGTCTGTATGTGTCCCTAGGTCTGAAGTGGGTGTCTTGTAGACAGCATATATATGGGTCTTGTTTTTGTATCCATTCAGCGAACCTGTATCTTTTGGTTGGAGCATTTAATCCATTCACGTTTAAGGTAATTATTGATATGTATGTTCCTATGACCATTTTCTTAATTGTTATGGGTTTCTTTTTGTACGTGCTTTTCTTCTCTTGTGTTTCCCACTTAGAGAAGTTCCTTTAGCATTTGTTGTAGAGCTGGTTCGGTGGTGCTGAATTCTCTTAGCTTTTGCTTCTCTGTAAAGCTTTTGATTTCTCCGTCGAATCTGAATGAGATCCTTGCCGGTAGAGTAATCTTGGTTGTAGGTTCTTCCCTTTCATCACTTTAAATATATCATACCACTCCCTTCTGGCTTGTAGAGTTTCAGCTGAGAAATCAGCTGTTAACCTTATGGGAGTTCCCTTGTATGTTATTTGTCGTTTTTCCCTTGTTGCTTTCAATAATTTTTCTTTGTCTTTAATTTTTGTCAATTTGATTACTATGTGTCTCAGTGTGTTTCTCCTTGGGTTTATCCTGCCTGGGACTCTCTGCGCTTCCTGGGCTTGGGTGGCTATTTCCTTTCCCATGTTAGGGATATTTTCGACTCTAATCTCTTCAAATATTTTCTCGGGTCCTTTCTCTCTCTCTTCTCCTTCTGGGACCCCTATAATGCGAATGTTGTTGTGTTTAATGTTGTTCCAGAGGTCTCTTAAGCTGTCTACATTTCTTTTCATTCTTTTTTCTTTATTCTATTCCATGGCTGTGAATTCCACCATTCTGCCTTCCAGGTCACTTATCTGTTCTTCTGCCCCAGTTATTGTGCTATTGATTCCTTCTATTGTATTTTTCATTTCAGTTATTGTATTGTTCATCTCTGTTTGTTTGTTCCTTAATTCTTCTAGGTCTTTGTTAAACATTTCTTGCATCTTCTCCATCTTTGCCTCCATTCTTTTTCTGAGGTCCTGGATCATCTTCACTATCATGATTCTGAATTCTTTTTCTGGAAGGTTGCTTCT